ATGTGCTCCCGGCTCTGCTGTTCCGGGAGACCGTTCCCCCGGCCGTCCCAGGGAAACCCCCATTAAATGTTCTGTGACCCTGTGACGATGCTGCCTGTGGTCACTCTATTAGAGTGAACTGCAAACAGAACAGGGCAGACAAACCCCAAACGCTGGTGGATATTCCAATACTTAGATTTACCCAAGCCAGCACAAAACAGCTTCTATAGTACCTCACTGGTTACTCAGAAGTCCAAACAACGCAGTTCCCTTAAAGTGCCCAGCCTTGGACCTCCACCCAGACACACATGTCAGGAATGATGATGATTACTGATAACCTTATCTTATCATATAAAAGAAACGTTTCTTCCAATCCCAAAGGATCAGCCACATACCCACATCAAATTATAACTTACATCTTACCCAAAATACACACTTATAGCCAACTCTTATTAACTAAACTAAAATTTATTAAAAAAGAAAAGAGAGAGCGTGTTGGTTAAAAGATCAATATCCATACTGACTTGAATTGAATTCTTTATATTCAGGTACATAGCAGAGATGAGCTTGTAGTTGCCAAAAGTCCTTTTAGAAATAGTCCCGAGGTTATAGTCCAATGTTCATATTCACGGTGACTCCAGTGATCCTTCTGGCTTAAGGTTTCCCCCTCTTGAAACCCAAAGCAGATCTGAGATGAGGAAGGATCGTGTCCCAGGGTTTTTATACATGTCCTGCAGCCTTTTGGCCTTAGAAAACATTATGGCAATTAGCACAGGATAATTTATCCATTAAACAGTTCGGATACAGGTTACCACAACCTTCAAAGAGACATAGAGACAATAATACTATTTCACTTAAGTATCTTCCTAAATGTTAATATTCCTTTTTTGATCTTTGAATCAAAGCTCTAGCAATAGACAAGATTTGTTTGCTTATATCACAAGACCTGAGCAAACAGCTCCCCTTATCTCTCTAACTCTGTAGTCTGCATTCCAAGCTCTATTCATTTACAGATCTTCCTAACCAGTCTCTGAAGTTCGGCTCTGGGTCAGGTCAGGCTGTGAGTTAATTAACTCTTTCTGGCCTGTCACCTTTCAATGAGATATTATATTAAACTATTAACATCACAAACCGTTGCGCCGCAAATCCAGGGCAGAGGGGAAATCAGTGGCCGCCTTTGCGACGTGAAGGATCAAACTAGGCATCAGTGTAAGGAAGGCCCTTGTTCCCTCAGCTGGAGGGAGATTTAAAGGAAACCACCCCCCAGTCCCCTTCCCGTGTCTGAGCCCAGGCCCCAGCCCGACCCCCAACGTCTACACAGACCTCAGAGGAAACATCCGCACTGCAATCAGAGACCCGCAGTCCGAGCCCCGTGAGCCCGACCCAACGGACCCAGGCTCTGAGGCTCGGCGCCGCGGGGCATTAAGGGCAGCATGGACAGACCCTGCCAGGCCTGGCTAGCCAGTATCAGTGTCCAGCTGTTCCGTGTGTTACTTTTAGCCGCCCCCTGGGTGCAGCAGGGCTGCAAAATATCCAGGCCTGGCCAGCTATGCCAGAGGATAAAGGCAGAGGGCTGGGGAGAGAGGGGGGAAGGCAAAGGACCCATTACGGGGGTGTCTGATGTCCCTGGTGATGGCTGGGTCTGGGGTGGGGGTGGGAGTGGGGTTATTTAGACCCTGGCTCTATCCCGCCCTGGGGAGGACACGTTTGGGGAGCAGGTCGCTGAATGCCCAGGTGCCCGGCAGACAGTGGCACTGGTGACGCTCGCTCAAGTACCCAGGCTGGAGCAGCCCGGCCCCTCATTAGTGACTCTGCCAATTAGGCCCAATTTTGACCAACCGGTTTTGGTCCCTTGGGTTTCCATTTCCCACGGTTCTGGTTCCCCGGTGTGGCTCTAACCCGGCCCCTGGGTTCCGTCGGGCGCCTCTTGGGTCGGGCTCAGTCGGGTCTGTCTCTTCCCTTCCCCGCCTGTGGGTCTTGTGTCACTTCAGGGACTTTCCCGTCCCCCAGCTGAGCTCACAGCGAGGGGCCATGTCTAGGCTCAGTGATCACTAGTGACCCCCCCCCTCCAGTGCTGTCCAGCCCCCCTGATCCCCCCTGTCTGGTTTGTGTTACAGACCCGACCGGGGCCCCCACCATCACTGGGAACGTGACGAGCAACGGATGCCCCGGTGAGAGGCCGCGTTGGGAGACCTGGGAATCAGCAAGCGCCTCCTAGTCATGCTCTGCCCACGCTCAGGGGCAGGACCCAGGCTCAGCCAGGCTCATGGGTGGCGGGTATTGCAGGCCAGGGGAGGCTGAGCTGCCTCAAACAGCCCTACATGGTCCCACCCATGCTCTGCCCCAGGTCCTCTCCTGCTCACTGCCCATGCTGTTCCCCCTTGGCAGCGCTGGGGCTGGGGCTGGGGCTAGGGTTAGGGAGGGTCGGCCTGGAAGGGAGAATCAGCTGTGACTGGAGCTGCCCAACGTGACGACTGAGACGGGGGGTTCTACAGGTGCTGGGCCCAGAGAGCTCTGCCCAGGGGATGCTCCAGCTGCTCCTCGAGTGTGAGTGAGGTTAATTCACGGAAATCCGTGCCACTGAATGCGAGTGGGGTAAACCCATGGGACTCCCGGCCACTGGGTGTGAGTGGGGTTGACCGAGACGACTCCCTGCCCCAGGGTTTCTCTCTCAGACGATTAATTTGTTGCTGTGTCTCCTGCGGTCCCTAGACAGCCCCCGGACGGGGACTGGACTGAACTCGTCCTGCCAGGGCCAGGGGCCCAGTGTCAGTTGCAGCTGCTCCCTGCGCTCCCACCCCCTGCCCTGGCTCCAGTGGCAGGTGGACGGGGAGCCGCTGGCTGTGAAGGGTTCATGGGGGGGGGGCTCTGCAGGTCAGCTCCTGTGTCCAGGGGAATGAGGCTAACAGCACCCTGAGCTGGAAGGGGATTGGGGATGAGGGTGGGGGGCTGGCTGGCTCGGGGCAGGGGTTGCAGGGATCTATCCCAGACTCTCGACTTCTTTTACCTCCATCAGGTGGCCTCCCTCGGGCATTTATCGAAATTAGCTGCAAACTCATCTTCATGGCGACTGGATTCTTCCTGGCCTATTACTTCACCCTGCTCTATTAAAGATGGTAACTCAGCTACCAACCCACCCACCAGCCTACCCACCTACCCATATACCTACCCACCTACCTACCGTCTATCCACCCCCCCAACTATGTACCTACATACCCGTTTATGCATCTGTTCATCCCCATACACCCACTTATCTAATCTAATCTAATCTAATCTAATCTCATCTAATCTAATCTCATCTAATCTAATCTATCTATCTATCCAGACTGCCAGCCACATAAATACTCCAGAATCTCTCACCCAGGAGACCCTGCTGCTGTCATGGAAGAAGAAGGAAGGACTGGTGGGGAGCCCTGGAATCCATGGTGCCTGACTCCCCTACCGACCTACCCACTGATCTACCCACCTACCTACAAACTTACCATCCTACTCACTCACTCACCCACCCACCATCCCACCCTCCTACCTACCGATGTACCCATTGACCCACCCATCTACCTACTACCCCGCAAAGCTACCAACCCACTGACCCAACCACCCACTAACCTACCCACCTACTGATCTACCAACCTACATACCTCCTATCTATCTAACCACTTACCCAACTAATTACCTAACCACCCACCTATGTACCTATCTACCCACCTACCACCCAGCCTAGCTACCTACTCACACACCCATCTACCTACTCACCTACAATCTCACCCACTCACCCATCATCTATCTATCTATCTATCTATCTATCTATCTATCTATCTATCTATCTATCTATCTATCCCGACTGCCAGCCACTTACATACCCCAGAATCTCTCTCTCAGGACACTCTGCTGCTCTCATGGAAGCAGAAGGAAGGACAGCCCGGGAGCCAGGGAATCCACCCTGCCCAAGTCCAGCGTGTAGATCAGGCTGTTCTTCAGCCACAAAAGAGCTGACAAGGAATTAGAAACTCAAGGGACTGAGGAAACAGAGAATGAGACCTCAGCTGGGGGCACTGCCACCCCGGGTGAGGCCAATGGGCCCCGTTGCCTCCCACGGTGTTTAATTTGTATAGAAAGAAATGCCAGAGCTCAGCTGTGGCTCAAATTAAGCCCTGGCAGGGTGGCCTGATACTGGCGGGTGCTGGCCGGGCACCCAGCTCTGAAGGCAACGCCACCACCAGCAGCAACGCAGAAGTCGGGGGACCTGGCACATGGGATTTTGCCACCCTCCTGCGCTGCTGTTGGGCCTTGTGGTGCCTGATGCTCGGCATGTGGCTCAAGGCTTCGCGCTGTCACACGTGGGCTGCATCTCGCCAGAGCCCACGGCCTCCTGCAGCCCTCTGGCCACTCCTGTCTCACCCGGGGCAGGGGAACCAGTTCAGATTTGGGGCGGGGGGAGGCAAATTTAACCATGATTCCAGGGACTACTTAGGCACCTGAAAACTCTTTGGGATTTGCAGATAAGAACTTAGCGATTAGTTGACAGGAGCTCTGTATCTAATTGTTATATAAAGAAAGAAAAAACACATAGAAATGACAATTAAAGACACGTTTAAAATTTATATCTATATTTAGAGGAGATAATACAGCAAGATATTCCCAATCCCAAGCCTTGAGGTGTCAGTTCTGGGGATTTAACTCAGGTATCAGAAATACACGATAATTCATACACTATCTTTAGTAGAGAGAAATAAAAATAAATAATATCTGCTTACACAGATGCACTGTGTTCCTGCCATTATCTCCTCTATTTTAGTCAATGGTTTTTCTCTTAAAACATAATTTTAACATATGTGATTGTGGTATTTTTCCCTCTTTTATTAAGAAAGGGAATTCATTTTTCTAATTATGGTTGCATTTATGTTTACTGACCACAATCATGTATGTGACTCCATCATTGCTATAGGTATCATAGATGGAACTGCAGTTATTTTCATGCAAATTTTAAGTTAATTTACAGATATAACTAAAAATACAATTGGAAAATAAGTGACCTTCATTTGCGCAATGTCTACAGTTCTGTGTTTAGCTAATGTTTTTGAAACTGGCATCACTAAAGTGAGTACAAGCTACAGTTACATTCTAGGAGAATATTATAATTTGATTCTACCACTTTACATAATGAATGACAAAGCACAATATGATAATAACAGTAATAATGATAATTACTCCGGCCAGGACAGATTAGGCAGCTTAGAACTCACTACTCAAAGAATTCAATGTAAGCACAAGAGAGAAATAGCAACAGAGGGTCCTGTGGCACCTTTAAGACTAACAGAATCCCTGTCTATCAGGGATGGTCTAGACAGTATTTGGTCCTGCCATGCGGGCAGGGGACTGGACTCGATGACTTCTCGAGGTCCCTTCCAGTCCTAGAATCTATGAATCTATAAGAATTATTGGGAGCATAAGCTTTCGTGGGTAAGAACCTCACTTCTTCAGATGCAAGACTTGCCCACGAAAGCTTATGCTCCCAATACTTCTGTTAGTCTTAAAGGTGCCACAGGACCCTCTGTTGCTTTTTACAGATTCAGACTAACATGGCTACCCCTCTGCTAAGAGAGAAATAAAATTATGAAATGTAGAGACCAGTCAAAAACTCATATAACGGCACTTTGAAAGAATAAAATTACAGAGCATATATGTGCATTGTAGGAAGTAACAACAAGTAACAACAGCAATATAAAGCCTGGTCCCCACTAAGCCCCCACTTCGGACTAAGGTACGCAAATTCAGCAACGTTAATGTAGCTGAATTCAAAGTACCTTAGTCCGAACTTACCGCGGGTCCAGACGCGGCAGGAAGGCTCCCCCGTCGATGCCGCGTACTCCTCTCGGCGAGCTGGAGTACCGGCGTCGACGGCGAGCATTTCCGGGATCGATCCGGGATCGATTTATCGCGTCTTAACCAGACGCGATAAATCGATCCCAGAACATCGATTGCCTGCCGCCGGACCCTCCAGTAAGTGAAGACGTACCCTAAGTATGTGTTGGGTGGGGTGAGTGTGAAAGAGACAGTGTGTGTGACCTGCGGGTGTGTGTGAGCTGGGGGAGTGTGTGCGAGACCGCATGCTGCCCCTTTAAGAGA